CATCTGCCTGGACCGCTACCACAACCCCAAGGTGCTGCCCTGTCTCCACACCTTCTGCGAGAGGTGAGAGCAGGCCCTGGTCAGTGGTCAGTGGTCAGCGGGGCGAGCGGGGGAGAGGACCACCAAGGGGGGTGGGGTGGGCAACTGGCCTTGCAGGGAGTGGGCAGCCTGCCTTGCCTGTCCATCTGTCTGCCTGGAGTGGGGAAACATGTCTCTGGGGCTGCACCTTTGTTGGTGGCGGTGTTGCTAAGGCTGCCTGGTTTTTTGTGTCTCAGGTGCCCAAAACAGCTGGGTTGGCTTTGGGTGCTATGAGACTTGATTGGGTGTGTATGTGTGGCATTTGTAGTTCAGCTTCAGGCAGCAAGGTGTAATGGGTTGGCTCGAGAGCATCTAATTTTTGTGTCGGGCGATGTGGCTCTGCAAGCGCCGGTAGGCTGTGGGCATTGTGATGTTAAGAGATGGGCACCGATGGAAAGTGGCACTGTGGGCACCAGTGGGAAGTGACACTATGGACAACATCACACCACATTGTGAAAGTGCTATTGTTCCACTTTTAACTGCTGTGGCTGGCTCCTATGGCATCCTGGGATTTGCTGGCATATATAGATATAGCCCAGAGTTCCATAGGAGGCAGCCATAGCTGTTAAAGCCATATAACAGCGCTATCGCAGTGTAGTGTGCTATTGACCTATGTGTACACAGCAGCTTTTGTGGTTGCATGCACAGCAGTAATAGCCAACTGTCAGCAAAAGAAATGCAGTTGTTCATGTGCATGCTCTAAGTGCATTAAAGTACACAGAGTGGTGTGTGAACATGCATTGTCCCAGGTATGTTGCACTATGCTGGTACTCAGGGTAGGTGTTTACGCTATGCTGAAGCAATTTAAGGTCTCTGCCTCTTTTCCCCACTACTCCTTGTTTTTGTTGTTGTTGTTGTTGTTGTGTGCCTGTAAGTCATTTCCGACTCATGGTTTTCTTGGAAAGTCTCTTTAGAAGGGGTTTGGCATTGCCATTTCGTGAAGCTGAGAGAATGTGACTTGCCCAAGGTCTGCCAGTGGGTTTGCATGGCTAAGCTAGGATTCGAACCCTGGTCTCCTAGTGTCCTAGTCCAACGCTGGAACCATTACACCATGCTGGCCCTCCAGTCATGATATAAATGTGTATTTGGGCCTGGCAAGGGTGGGACTAGGTGACCCTTGAGATCCCTTCCAACTCTTATGGTTCTATGAAGACTAGAAGATGGGTTCTGAGATTTTCAGGATCCCATAGAAGCTGTGCTGTTCTCCTTTAAGAGTTGTAATCTGCAGTCTTTCAATTATTTGCTGAAATAGCTTGACTTGTGGTTTGCATTGCTCTCTCCTTGAGGCCTGTTCACAGACTTTGGAAATCTAATTAAATGGATTTTAAGTTACTGCCCGCAGTAAGCAAGTCAATCTTGGGAGCAGGAGGGATAGAGGCATAATAACAAGTATATAACCAAATTTTATCAATTGATCTGTTTGGTTCAAGCGTTTCTGTGTTGCCTGCTGGAACAGAGTCTTTTCCAAGCCAGGTGTGCATAGCTTAAATATTAAAATTGAGGAGGCTAGAAAATTGCAGAACCAAGGGCTTAAAATGATTTAACACACATAAAGCTGAATAGAGTCTAAAACACACTGCAGAAATAATCCAGTTTGAGACTGCTTTAACTGCCCTGGCTCAATGCTAGAGAATTCTGGGAACTGTAGTTTTGTGGGACATTTAGCTGTCTCTGATAGAGAGCTCTGAGCCCACAATAAACTACAGTTCCCAGGATTCCCTAGCACAGAGCCAGGGCAGTTAAAGCAGTCTCAAACTGAGTTATTTCTGCAGTGTGTTTTGGACCTGAGAAATCAGTCTACCTTTTAAAACTAAAGATAAATTGCAATCGACATCTTTATAGGCCTGTCTAGAAGGAAAAAAGGGAGGGAACCCAAGCTACGTGGGGCCACCATGAGAAAGGCTCCGTCTTTCACGGTGACCAGTCTGAAAAATCCTGTTGCCCAGCCTGTGGAGAAGGGGTCTCTGTGGCCGATCTTAGCACCCAGGCAGACCCATTGAACGGGTGCAAGCGGTCCTTCAAGCAACTTGGATCTCAGACTCTCCACCGCTTTCATTGTTGATGTCCATGCTTTGAATTGGGCTCAGAACTGAGTAGGTAACTGGTGCAGCAGATGCAGAAGTGGCATCATGGGCTCCCAACTCTTCTCTCCCATAAGCATCCTGGCAACTGCACTTTGCACTGATGGAAGCCTCTGAGCAGTTATCAAAGGCAGCTCCATCCTGAGCATCTTACAGCAGTCTAGTCCAGAAGCATCCTAGCATGTTCTGCTGCACCCTGATGGGTCACAGCTGAGGAATCCATCTGAGTGGATGAAAGGATCTCTTCCATCTCTCAGAGAGAGGGCTGAGCCCAGGAGGAGACTCATAAGATGTGTCTGTGGGGGGGGGGTAACTTTTTGGAAGATCAGCACCTCCTACTATTGGTTTATAGAGCTGCAACACCAAAGCAGAATAGGATAGCACTATTACTTCCCTTATAGCAGGGGTTGGCAAACTATGGCCCGCGGGCCGAACCCAGCCCCTTGAGGCCTTTGAACCAGCCCGTGACCAATCCTGCCGCTGTCGCCACTGCCGTGCACGCGCCGCCGCTGCCTTTCTAGCGCGCGGGTGATGCGGGGCGCCATTTTGTGTTCCAAAATGGCACCTGTGCTCGCGCACGCATGCACATGATGGCGGGCGCTGTTTTGGAACACAAAACAGTGCCGGCGTCATGCGCATGTGCTTGCGACGCATGGTGCCATTTTGCGTTCCAAAATGGCACCCGCCATTGTGTGCATGTGTGCGCGAGCGCGGGCGCCATTTTGGAACACAAAATGGTGCCCGCACATGCACGCACGCGCATGACGCTGGGAGTAGTGTGCATTCGCGCGCATCTCCGGCGCCATTCCCCCCCCTTCAGCCTGCCGACGATCGGGGGACAGCTGAACTGGCCCCCTCCAAAAAAGGTATGCCGACCCCTGCCTTATAGAATCATAGAGTTGGTAGAGACCTCAAGGGCCATCCATTCCAACCCCCTTTGCCCATGCAGGAATGCACAATCCAAGCACCCTTGACAGATGACAATCCAGCCTCTTTTAAAAAACCTCCAAAGGAGGAGACTCTACAACCCTCCGAAGAAGCATCTTCCATTGACGAACAGTTGACGAACTGCCAGGAAGTTCTTGTTAATGTTGAGGTGGAATCTCTTTACCTGAAGTTTGCATCCATTGCTCCATTGGGTCCTATTCTTTGGAGCAGCAGAAAACAAGTTTGCTCCCTCCTCAATATGAGGACATCCCTTCAAATATTTAAACAAGGCTATCATGTCACCTCTTAACCTTTTCTTCTCCAGATATGTTTAGCTCCTTACGTCTCTCCTCATAGGGCTTGATGGTTTCCAGACCCTTCACCATTTTAGTGGCCCTCCTTTGGACACGCTCCAGTTTCTCCACATCCTTTTGGAATTGTGGTGCCCAGAACTGGACACAGTCTTCCAGGTGAGGAGGCCTGACCAAAGCAGAATAGAGTGGCACTATTACTTCCCTTGATCTAGATCCTCTGGACACGCTCCAGCTTGTCAACATCCTTTTTGAATTGGGGTGCCTGGTTCAACTCTTCCATCCAGATCAGTCTTTCCCCTACCCACAGGTCAGTTCAGCTCAAACCTTGGCTTCTTTGTCCGCATCCATCCCAAAGAATTGGGCTGTGGTCTCTTCTTGCTGCCTTTCCCAGGAAACTCCCAATCAGGGGAAATGAAGAACACCACGACTCTTTGCCACTTTGTCTTGCCATCAGCATCTTGTACAGGTTCCTTTTTAGCTTTCATAGGTCGGGTTACAGCCATCAGGAGAGCAGTCACCTCTAAGATGAAGTCATTGCAACATTTCTTGCCATATGACCTATACCAATGTGTCACACTCACACACTATTTTCCCCTCCTGTATGATTTTTAACATCTTTGTCTGATGAAGAAGCCAGTGGAGCTTGGAAAGCCTGCAAGATGTATTTTGTGTGTTTTGGCTGGCCCAATAAAGGTATTGCTGTTATGTGGATTTTGGATGTTATTGTACTTTGCTGTATGGTAAACACAGCTACTCCTGGATATATACCCCTTTCCTATGTCATCCTTTGAGGCATGAAACCTCTCTTCTCAGAAGCTGCTGACATAACCTGGTGTCACTCTTTGGGTCTTGCTTCTTGGCTACAAAGCCTGGACATTCCCTTTCTTCCAGCCTGAAGGATCCTGACCCTCTTACTTCTTCTTCCTCCCCACTGCTATTTTCACTTGGAGTGGCAAGCATTGGATACTCCGTGGTCCTCTGCCTTCTTCGCTCCTGAGTGTAGGCAAGTGATGGTGTTTGTCCTGTTTGCTGCCACCTCATGCCAGAGCTGACATCTAGCCTACGTAGTTCCTTATTTGGACCTCTGAATTCTTTCCAGAGGATTTCTAGGGATAAGCAGCTTAAAACATCTCCACCCACTTTGCCTACTCCTCAGTAAGAACACTGGCTAGTACAGAGACCAAGCATGGATCCAGTGGGGTGCCCGCTTTAAAAGTCCTCCCTATTCTGCTCAGTGGATGAAAGCTCTGAGGTTGGCCATTCTTGGCTTGGGTGGGTTGACAGGAATGCCCCCCAAGACTGGCTGACTGTGGCAGAAAGGGGGCAGAAGGAATTCTAGGGAGGTCAGCCACACCTCCTCACAAAGAGCTTTGCTTCATTTGCAGGCGCATGGCCAAAACAGTGGAGTGGCTGGGCTGGAGCTGACCTAGAGCCACCGGTGGCCAGGCCTTTTTGGGCTCCAAGCCCTACTTGCTCAGCATTGGCCATGAAGGTGGCAACTGTCTTCTTTCCCTTCAGCCATGGAAGTGGCAACTGGGCATCTGCCTTATGCCCAGGAGGCAGGCAACCCAAGTCATTGCACCTGTCTTTCTAGAGTTGAGCCAAAGTGGCATAAGGGTTTAAGCACTGGACCACGACTCTGGAGACCAGGGTTCGATTCCTAGCTTGGCCATGAAACTCACTAGGTGACCTTGGGCATGTCACATGCTCTCAGCCACAGGGGAGGGTAATGGTAAACCTCCTCTGAACAAATCTTGCCGAGAAAACCCCGTGACTGGTTTGCCTTTGGGTTACCCTAAGTCGGAAATGACTTGAAGGTACACAACAACAAAGTTTCAGCCTGGAGATGGGACTGCAACTGTATCTTGTGTGTGGCTGTTATTAGTTGTTGGGGAGAGAAGAGCGTCTCAGATTGACCGTACCTTCTACTTTTCTTCATGCATCCTTCATGCATTTGAATCCTATCCCTGCTCTGCCTTCCTGGAGTGGTTGGCAAAGCATGCAAAGAGCACATTCCCTCTGAAGGGAACAGGGCCCTTTTACAGCTTGAGAAGAAGCCAGGAGGGTGAAGCCCATGGGATGGTGGAAGTGGGATTATGTGGTGTGTGGGTGACCACAGGACAGGCTGCCGGGACAGGGGTCTCTCTATGTTGTGTGTGTGTGTTGTGTGGCAAAAGTGAATTCCCTGAATGCACAAGTAAACATGAGCCACAAGCCTTTCTGTCTGCCTCTGCCCCTGTGGGTCTTCCTCCAGGGCAGTGGAGGTTGGGCCTTGATAGACGTCCATTGTTTTAATTGTTTGCATTCAGCCTTCTGTGTCCACTGATTCTTTATCCATGGATTCAAACATAAGTCATTTTTGACTTATGGCGACCCTAAGGTGAAAACAGTGTTTTCTTGGCAAGTTTCTTCAGAAGGGGTTTGCCATTGTCCTCTTCTGAGGCTGAGAGAGTGTGAGCCAAGGTCATCCTGCAGATTTACATGGCTGAGGCAGAATTCAGACCCTGGTCTCCAGGGTCATGGTCCAACACTCAAACTACTATACTATGCTAGCTCCCTAAAAAGCATACCTTGAGTTTTCTGTTTGCTATAAGGGACCCCATTTCACTATGCCATTGTGCTTAAAGAGACTTAAGCATCCATGGATTTTGGTGTCCACAGGGGGTCCTGAAACCAAATCCCAGCAGATACCAAGGGCCCACTGTATTACATTGATATCCCACTTCTCCTCCAGGGAGCTCAAAGTGGGATGCATGGTCCTCCTCAACTGTAGAAAATCCTTGTTGCAGCCTTATGAGAGAGGGGGGTGCCTGGCCCAAGGGCAGTGTGCCCTGGAGGGGGGGGGGTTCATAGGGATACCTGAAAATTTGGGGAGGGAGGCAATAGAGACCCCAACTTTCCTTCTGTTTTGTGTGTGTGTGTGTGTGTGAAACTGTTTCCTGTTTGGCTGGAACAGAAGCTTTCTTGTGGGGCATCAGGCTGACCATACAGGAAGAAACAAGGCGTTGGACTAGGTCAGTTCCTGGCACTGTGTTTCTCTGGGGCTTTTGTGTGGAGAGGTCTAGCGCAATGCCTGCTGACCATGGCCTAGAACTGCGGGAGGGTTCCTTCTTCCACATGCAGTGACTCATTAAGAGTTTATGACAATCTGTAATACTACAGGCATACTGAATTTAGCAAGGCCTCTGCTAGTAAGCTTCCTTTTTACAGAGCCTTTTTAGGCCTGCCCATGCCCTTTTTCCTTCTTGTCCTCTGTCTACCTGGAAGTTTTTGAGCAGCATTGGAAGAATGGTGAATAAGGGCTGGACTTTTGGAGCTGGGTTGCAGCAGCTTGTCTGCAGTAAAGAATGCAATGAAGGCTGAGCTAGGATAGAACAGTTTCCTCCTCTAGCCAATCCTACCGTAGCCATATGTGCCTGCCGACAGTAGGCAAGGCAATCCGGAGTTGCCCCCAAAAGCGCTTACTGAACTTGTGCAGACCCTAAAACAGAGAGAAACAGGGACACCAGATAAGCCTGCCTCACCAGCTGCCCTCCCTCAGCCCATCCATAGGTGTAGTTTGTGCACCAAAATGGAAAGCACAAGAAAAGTGGAGGCTGACGAAAGGGGGGAAATGCCTGGGTGCATTTTGGAAGAAGCCTTTTGGTTCAAAATGTTTTTGTTTTCTTATGCAAGGCTTAGCTAACCTGTGTTTTTTTTAAATCCCCATTTCACATGTGTATTACTTTGGATAAAAGGTTTGCTCTAAAATGTTGAACTGCTTTTTTTTTTTGTGGTGCAGGAACTTATTCCTATTCTTTCCATGCTGTTTCTGCCTCAGGTACCATGTAATGTCCAGGAATGCATGTACTTCATTAAATGAAGTATACTCATACACAATTAGGGCACTACAACTCTACTCTAATTGCCATGGCTTTCTCATCCTATGGATCCCTGGGACTGGGGCTTGTGAGGCACTAGAGCTCTCTGGCTGAGAATTCTAAGTACCCCTCCCTAAACTACAAAGCCCAGGATACTCTGGGATGAGATAGATGTGGCAGTCCAAGTGGAATCTTAGTGCAATGTGAATACACTCCAGGTGTGCCTTGCTTTATGGCATATTCTGGGGAGGGACTAGGGCTTGGTGGCTTTCTTGGCTTGTTGACCCAGCCACAAAAGTGACTATTTGGGAGGGAGGGATGGCCTCCCACCCGATTCCTCCCCTGTTGCTCCTCACTTAGAACCAGTGCCCTTTGAGGAGCTGAACCCTCTAGGATTTGGCGATTGGGAGGAAGGTTACAGAAGGCTGTGTAAACAAGCTTTTAGGATTCTGCCCCCACAGGTCCTCCCCCCTTTCAGATCTAAGTGTAAGAATGAGGGTAAGGGGCACCTGGCAAAGTTGGAGGACTACCTGCCTTTTCATATCATAGAGCTGAAAGGGTCTCCCAGAGGCCATCAGATCCAACTGTCCACTCAGTGCAGGATTTCCAGCTAAGAGCATCCCCAGCAGACAGCTGTAAAGCCTTTTTTCAAAGATATCCAGAGAAGGAGACCCTACCATAGAATCATAGAATCATAGAGTTGGAAGACACCACAAGGGTCATCCAGTCCAACCCCCTGCTATGCAGGAACTCCCAATCAAAGCATCCCTGACAGATGGCCATCCAGCCTCTGCTTAAATACCAGCTCTAGGCAATTGGTTCCATTGCCCAAATGCTTGACTGTTAAGAAGTTCCTTTTAACATCCAGTTGAAATCTACTGCCCTGTAACTTCAAACTGTTAGAGCTGGTCCTATCCTCAGGGACAGCAGAGAACAAGCCTGCTTCTTCTTCTCTGTGACAGCCCTGGAGGTATTTAAAGAGGGCCTTCATGACACCCCTTAGTCTGAAGAAGATGAACATGACCAGCTCCTTCAACCTTTCTTCACCTTGGCAAGGGGATGGTGGCAGGGCTGGCACTCACTGAATCATAGACTCCTAGAGCTGGAAGAGACAAGGGCCATCCAGTCAAAATCCCCCCCGCATCATGCAGGAACTCACAATCAAAGCACCCCCAACAGATGGCAATCCAGCCTCTGTTTAAAGATCTCCAAAGAAGGAGACTCCACCACACTTCAAGGGAATATGTTCCACAGTTGAACAGCTCTTGCCATCTAGACGTTCTTCCTAATGTTGAGGTGGAATCTCTTTTCCTTTAGTTTACATCCGTTGCTCCATATCCTAACCTCTGGAGCAGCAGAAAACAGGCTTGCTCCATCCTCAATATAACACACCTTCAAATATTTAAACAGGGATATCATATCACCTCTTAGTCTTCTCTTCTCCAGGCTAAACCTACCCAGCTCTCTCTCCTCATAGGGCATGGCTTCCAGCCCCTTCACCATTTTGGTTGCCCTCCTCTGGACACTCTCTGGCAAGCACTAGCTGACTGCACAGACTTTTGGCTGGTGCTGGATTCTATGTTCAGCTTTAGGCACCAGTGCAACTTTGCAGATGGAGTGGTTCCCTGGAGAACCACCTGCCTTGGCAGCCAAAGCAGTGACCTCACTGGAGTCAGTAGCGGCTGCGCAGAGGGTGAGGATGATGACTCAGGGACTGAGGCAGGGAGGACGGCCGGTGTGGAGCAGGAGGCATTGGCACCAGCGTCCCTTGTGCTTCCCACCTGGAAGAAGAGACAGCACACATCCAGCTCTGCTGCTGCAATTGCTATGGCCACCTGCACCTGCTTGTGACATTTGGGACCTAGAGAGGTCACCTGCCGTTGCAAGGGGTAGGATGGGGGGTCACCTTGTGTTGGAGCAGAGCCTGCAGTGTGAGGGCCAAAAGAGTGTTGGTTGAGGCTGGAAGTTAGGGCAGAGGATGGGGTGTTTGCCTCCGGAGGCCTGGAGTGCTTGGCCCTGCCATCCTACCTGCTGCAGCTGGGGATCTAAAGCTGTAAACGCAGGGAAAGAGGGGACCCAACATCTGGAGAAAGGGTTGCTGGGTGGTACCTGTTGGCAGCGGGGCAGCAAGGAGAGATGCCAGAGTGCTCTGAGTACCTAGTTGGTCTGGGTGCGGGGCCCTCCAGGATGATTCTGCATTGGGGCAGGCAGAACAGTGCTCAGTGCCTGTGCCCACTGTTCTCTGCCCCCTGTCCCAGCTCTGGTGCCATCTCATTTCCATGTCTGTCTCCCTTTTTCCATCCCTCTCTCCCTTTTCCTATTCATTGGTAAGGCTGCCTCCATTTCCCATCCCCTGC